TACAATCCACTGAATTCTTAGGGTTCAAGATTGATGCACAGGGTATTCACCCATCTGATGCTAAGCTCAAAGCTATTCAGAAAGCTCCAAGCCCCAAGTCTAAGGGCGAACTGCAAGCCTTTTTAGGTTTGTTGAATTTCTATCATGCCTTTCTACCTCACAAAGCTGCTATTGCTGAGCCATTGCACAGGCTCCTTGATAAGAATGCGTGTTGGCGCTGGACCAAGGTCCATGAGGCCAGTTTCAATGAGGTCAAAGCTTTGCTTACATCCAATGCGGTGTTGGCTCATTTTAATGAGCAGTTGCCAGTGTGCCTGGCTTGTGATGCCTCACCCTACGGTGTGGGCGCTGTTCTTAGCCATTTGACGGCTGAGGGGACTCAGGTCCCTGTGGCTTACTATTCTAGGACTTTATCTGCTGCTGAGCGCAACTATGCTCAAATTGATAGGGAAGCTTTGGCTTTGGTGGCTGGTATTAAAAAATTCCATGATTTCATCTATGGCCGCCATTTTACGGTCTTCACAGACCACAAGCCCTTACTGGGGCTGTTTACCACCTCCAAACAAACTCCTCATATCCTATCCCCTCGTATGCTCCGTTGGTCCATCTTCCTCTCAGCTTATGACTATTCACTGGTCTATAAGCCTGGCAAGGAAATGGGTCATGCAGATGCTTTGAGTAGGCTGCCATTACCTACTGTGGAGCCTGATCCAGCTCCTGCTGTACACATATTGTCAATTCAGGAGTTGCCTGAATGCCCCCTCAATGCTAGGGATGTGGCTGCTGAAACTGCCACTGACCACACGCTCAAACGCGTGCTGTCATGGGTTCTCTCTGAGTGGCCTGACAGGTGCCCTGCAGAGGAATTTCAACGTTTTTGGGTCAAGAGGCACGAGTTGTCCACTTTCAACGGTTGTCTCCTATGGGGATCGAGAGTTGTGATCCCGGCCTCATTGAGGGCTAGAATCTTGGTCTCATTACATGAGGGTCACCCTGGAATTGTAAGGATGAAGGCGCTTGCTCGCAGCCATCTGTGGTGGCCTGGCATTGACCGGGCTATCGAGTCCCAAGTACATGGATGTCATACCTGCCAACAGTCCAGACCTGAAATGCCCCAGGCCCCTGTACACAGGTGGGAGGAAACACACACTCCATGGTCTAGAATACATGTAGATTACGCTGGGCCCTTTCAGGGTCAATTCTTCCTGGTTGTTGTTGATAGCCATTCCAAGTGGCTGGAGGTCGTGCCTGTGTCTT